AAACTTTGTTTAGTTTAGATGTTTCAAACAGCATATACATAATAGGAAATATCTAATGGTTTACTGTTTGGTTTAGATCTAACGGTTAATGTCAAAAGACTATAGGACTTGGACAGGCTTCACGGTTTCTGAGCTCCATGTACTGGAGGTGCAGAAGATTGATGGGGCAAAGTTGAAGTACCTTCCTCGATGTTTATGTCTTGGACACCAGTGCTTAATGATGTAGATGAATCAGCTTCGCCATTATCTTCTTCATCATCAAGGAAGGAGCCCTTCATCTGCAGTTCCTTGACCTTCAGGAACTCATCATAGTGCGCCCGTCTCTGTTCCTTGAAACTCATACCACATTGATCTGTCTCAGAATCTACAAAAAATGGAGAAGACTATTTCATCAAGCATAAATTGAAAATGGAGGGTAAGTTCAAAATGGAGGTAAAACAGTTTGGAAGGTGGAGGACTACAGTGTGAGGGAAGACAAAAAACGGGGGGTGGGGTCTGGTGCACATGGGTGATGGCCAAGAACAAAGGTACCAATGCCACATAAAATCCCAACCAAAAGCAACATCATGAAGTTCAAAACAAAGAAATTAATTGAGAAATCTCATGAATGATGAGGAAGAAATTCTTACCAAACATATAATCCATAATATCCATATGCTACATTATTAGCCTTTCAATTAAAAATATCAGGTATATAATTCAACCATGACAGCTATATGCCCAGAATCTTTCTAAAATTATTAAACGAATTTCACTACAAAACCAAAAGAAAGGGGTAACCCACATTAATTAAAGCTGAATACATATCACACTTTTTTTGTTTGGTCATCACATGTCACACTTCTGAAAAATTAATTTTTTTTGGTAGTTTACTCTCTTTGAAAGCAGCAGTTTACCCAAAACACTTTGATATCATGAGTGATACTAAGGACAAAGAGGTAAAGAAGTCATCAGAAATGGTTATTCTGCTTACAGGAAGGCAATCAAAGTTAATATAATCATATCAAATAGAGAACATAATAACATTGGTTAGAGAACCTTCATCGTCATGTTCCATAGGGTCTGCCTCATCCTTAGATGATGTCCAACCAGCAGACTGCCTGGTAGTTTTTCTGCTTGAAGAAGCTACATCATTCAAAGCATTGCATAATTCCTCTGCATCCATAGCATCACCGATACAATCATTGAAGCTGCGGTGCATAGGAGACACAGACCCTGCAACAACAAACCAGGTTCAGATTACATAATTAGAATGGGATTGTGAACCAGTGGCATTAGAGAAACACAATTGCATGGCAAGTAAATGCAAATTCAGTGGCTTCAGCAGAGGGGAAAAAGAATAGAAATAGACATACCATCGTCATCAATCATGGGGTGATATGGAGTCTTTGGTTCAGTAATTTTCTGCCTTTCAGGTTTATTTGCTTCTATTTCTCCCAGGTTTACCTCATTCCATCTTACACGCCTACTATTACTCCTATCAAGCACAAAAATCAGATCATAAGCAAAACCAGCAAGGCAGTTACAAAAACTAAAGTAACTCCCTAGCAAATGATTTGCAGATAATGAAGGAAAACACATGTTATGAGATCTTTAATTGCATATGGTTGGCACATCTTGGTTTTTTTTTTGCCTGTTCACATCATGTTGTGTTCATAGTAATAATAATAACCAACAATCTGACCACCTCACCATGCTTCCAAAATAAAAACAGAGAATGAAATGATATTCAGAGAATCTAATGGAAATTACTTCATTACTCAAAGCTTGTTATGTCCTTCAACACCAGCAGCAAGCTCCCAAATCACCTGATCCAAGGAAAAACTATTAGAAACAATGATAAAATATCACACTGAAGAAACAAAAAGAAACCATATGCTGCTTTACAGCACAGCTATCTTATAACACACTAATATATATATATAAGGGTCAAGTTTGTATTAACTCTTATTTTTGTGAAGCAGGAGACCGGTAAAGAGAAAAAACCAAACTTTGAAAGGAGGAAGCAAGCAATACACCCTAAAAGGCATAAAAAGAAAAGGAATGTTCAGAAGATATGCATGATAAATATAGTTAAGAAATTAACAACTGCATCACAAAACCAGATACTACATCAACAATTTTTGCTTTGAAGGCATTTTCTAGTCAAATAGTCGGAAAAAAGTATATAAAATCTACCATGTACTTGATGGTAACTAAGAGAGAAAGAAGTAGAAGATTAACTACAAATTTTACAAAAGGTGATTAAATACCTAAATCAATAAATAAATCAGAGACATCGTAAAATATTATCCTGGAAAAAGTTATATAATAATGCCCAAAAAATGTATATAATGAAACCATTAAGTTCCAACATAGGTGCTTCATTTGAATCAATATCCTTAACAATCAGTTTTCGAAACCAAATTCAAACACTAAGTCTAATAAAATTTGAGGCTCCTGCCACTTAGTGCCTAAAAGCAACAGATTAATATTGACAGATTATGGCTTTGAGTGAAGAATCCAGGACACAGATGGTAAAAGAATACGATTCACACTGAGGCGAGCTGCTATGTATCAATAAAAGAGAAGAAGGAAGCATATAAAATATCTATAAATCAGTTTCTCAGAAATTCAATGGTGTGAAACACACAACACCATAGCCACAATTACAGATACAGAAATAAACAATAATTATGATTTCATGATATTAATCCATTTTAAAGAATAAGCAGGAACTCTTTTAACACAGTAAGACATGGATTATAAGTAGTTCTAAATGATGTAGCGATCAGAACGTCGATTCTAGAATCGAGAAAAGAGATCCTTGATGCTTCGTTTGGTTGTCGAGAAAATGAAGGAAAACAGAAGAAAAATTGAAAAAAAGAGAGGGGAAAATAACCGTTCCCTTCGGTTTCCATCATCGAATGCAGAGGTGAAGCAAACAGGAGTGAGAAACTCGTACCTTGCACCGCCACCGCTCGACGACGAATTCCAGGAAGAATGAAAAGGGTTTGGTCCTTAATTCTCCCCCGCGTTCTTTGACCAATTTTTTTGTTTTACAGTTATACCCTCGTAAAACCATGCAATCTTGATTGCACCCCGGGTCATCCCTCTGATGAAGTGCCACCGACCGCACAGATCATGCCACGTAAGCAGATTCGGAATATGGCCTGAGGGCAATTTGGGAAAATAAATCGTCGAGGCTTGAGGAGGGGAGCAAAATAGCTAGAATAAGCAGCTGTCATTTGTTCAGGGCTCAACAGGAGGAAGACCGAGAGCTCTCTTGAATTACAATCGGAGTAAGAATCGGTTCTCAAAAATCTTCTTCTTCTTCTTCAATTTGTCGCTTTGGATCCCGCCTTTGATTTTATCTATGGATCTTGCAGAGTTTCACTCTTTTGGTCTTGATAAAGAGTTCTTCATGGATTTTGATTTCTGTTAACTTTGACTTCTCTGTTATTTTCTGATGAATTTATTGTGGATTTTGAGTTTGAGATCTCATTGTTATGAACTGTGTGGTCGGATCTAATTTATTCCTTGCTATTATCGAATTTCCGTTTTGATTTTGCGTATACTAGTATGGAGGAATGAGAAATGGATAGTTTCTAGTTCAAAATACATCGGATTGTTGATTGAAGTTGGAACGGTTCATTGGATCAACAGATGGCTATAAGATGCTGTGTAGCGTTGATTTTCAGATGCGAATACTGAATGTTTTGAGTGTTTGTGCATCCTAAAAAGTTAGATTTGGTTGTGGTGTAGGCAGCAGCAATGACCTATTAGAGGAAGATGAAGAAGAAGTGCCTTTGTGATTCCAATTAATTTGCGAAAATAGATGTGTTGGAAGCTTTTACCATGTAAAGTGAACAACTTCTGCATTTATCTGAGCTACTTTACCGTGATCAGGGTGTTTCTAAGATTTTTTTGAAATTGACTCATTACCCTTCTAGTTTTTAATTTATTTTTCTTGTTTGTGATTTCCAGCATTATAAATGTTGAACATAAGAGGCTGTTCTTTTATCAGTTGAAGATCAGAGGATTAGATCAAAAAGGACAGAGATGTTCTCACTCTTTTATGGACTTTGGAAGTACATTTTTAGTAAGACTGAGTTTCATGTGCTCATTCTTGGAATTGACAAGGCTGGGAAAACGGTAATGCTCACTGTTCTTTTTCTTTTGAGTTGGCATTGAAGTTTTGTGGATTTTGAATTAATCTTCTGCTTTCTTGGTTGATATTTGTTGACCTTGTAGTCTTCATATACAGCATTTGCTAATATTTCCTGTCCCAATCATTTTGTTGTTTTTGAATCTTTAGACTTTGCTGGAGAAATTGAAATCATTATACTCAAAATTGGAAGGTCTACCCCCTGATAGAATTGTTCCCACTGTGGGACTCAATATCGGACGTATTGAGGTAGCAAATACAAAGCTTGTGTTCTGGGATCTAGGAGGTCAGGTGTGTAAGAACAGATACAGATTTGTCAATCTTATTTGTCATTTACTAGTTTAATCTTTTAGTTGCATTTAATAAGTTCAAAAACTGTTTTTCAGTATCATGATGATGACAGTTGATTGTGGTTGCACACCATTTTGGATTCTAATCTTTCAGGCTTCTCTTGTAATTTCTTGTTAAAAATAAAATTAGTAATACTTTTGTTTAAAAGAGATTTTTCAAATTTATATTTACAGACTTATGTGTTTGAGAAAAACACAAACAGCAGTCATTTTAAACCTAAAGAAATTGCTTTCCGGTTTTTTATTCCTTTGTTGTAGTTCTCTTCTGTTCATCCTTTATACCAACTATAATAGCTGCTGATTGAATCATGGCTCCTTCAGTGTGGGCAATGGGTCATGGATGTCCTTGAGTTTTCTTTATTCTAAAACTTATATTTATTACATTCTGCAAGGTTCTATTATCTTTTTGTTAAAATTAAAACAAGGCAGTTTATGATGTTAAACTGCCAATGGTTACTTAATAATTAATAGGGAAGTATGGATAAGGAGGGTTATTTATGAGATACCATGCATTTCTAAGAAGTTCCATTTAATCTTTGAACCTTCACTAGAGCAAATCATAGATGTGTGAAGATGTTTAAAATGATTATGTGGATTAACTGTTGCTGTCTGATCTTTTATATGATGCTTGATGCTTATATCCAATGCTGGCATTTTGATGCAAGATTTTTTGCTTTTGCAGCTGGGTCTTCGCTCAATTTGGGAGAAATATTATGAGGAAGCACATGCTGTGATATATGTAATTGATGCTGCATGCCCCTCTCGTTTTGAAGATTCAAAGTCTGCGCTTGGTAATTGTTTTTTTACGTTCCTCATTGTTGTCGTTAACACTTGCTGATTGTAAACCGCGTAAGTTGTAAATGTTGGCTGTTAAAATGCATTATATTGACATAATTTTCATATTTGTGGGATTCCATAATGGCAATAACAACTTGCAACTGCATTTTATCTATATCCAGAAAAGGTTCTTCGGCATGAAGATTTGCAAGGAGCTCCTCTTTTGATATTAGCAAATAAACAGGTAACTTCTTAGTTTTGATTTGCAATGTCCAACAACCTAGTTGCCTGTGTTGGAATTTGAATGTGAAATTTTACCTTCCATTTTATTTTTTTGTTCTAACTATATTATGCATCACATCACAAATCACTCAGATGTTTGTTCTTTCTCTTTTCTGTCTTTAGTGGTGTGAATCTGATTGCATGTCATCTTTATTTTGGCATTTAGAACTGTAGATATGCTTTTAAACAATATTTCTGCCTTTGGTTAATTCTAATGAGATGCAAATGGAGTATCAATTTTCCTGTGTCTATGCTTTTTTGAATTTCAAATGACTAGTCACTCTTTTGATGCTATCCTTTTCAAACAGGATCTTTCTGAAGCAGTGTCTGCTGAAGAAATTGCACGATATTTAGATCTTAAGAAATTGGATGAAAGGGTATACATGTTTGAAGCTGTTTCAGCTCATGACGGGTAAGTTTCTGGGTGCAAAGTTAAAGGAAATATGTATTTCTATTCATATTGGTGTGGTGATTGTAGTTATCCCATTTTACTCCTTTCTTCACTTCTCATAACCCGAGAGTGGCAAAATACACAAAAGATCTGTTCGTGACAGTTCAACTTTGACTGCAGGACGGGAATTAAAGAAGGTTTAGAATGGCTGGTGAGTGTAATGGAGAGAAGCAAGAGAACTGAAATGTTGAGAGTTCGTGCAGGTTTAACCGGCCCTGGTCCTTAGACGAAACCACATCAAGTTGCATTTATCCTGCCTTGTTTTTGTAGCTTGTGTAAATAAATGAAGGTTTAATTGGCTTCTACATCGATTAATAGCTCAATTTTTCACATCTCTACCTATTATTTTAAAAACTTGGATGGAACTTGTATTTGGAACAAGTTTATAATCATTATCACAAGGGCATTTGATTTATACAACAAATTGTACAAGATGTTATTTTATTGTTAATGACTTCATTAGCAATTGAGTTTGTAGGAAATAATCGTCGCCCATTAAACATGAGTTTGCAAGAGTAGAAATCGAGAAGAAGATAATAAATCTTTATAAAAATAATATGATATTAAGTTGGTGTATATAAAGATTTACTAACATTAAGGGAAAATGGTTACAATACAGAACCAACTAAGCATATGTTTCTAAAATAAGATTGAACCTCTCATATAAGCAAATTTCACTCTGGACTCTTCAAGTGGCGGTTCATGGCTTCGGGACAGCAGGGGCTGCCGCAGTAGCTCTTTCCTTAACCATGGGTTCTGGTTCTGTTTAAAACAAGGAGATACCAACGTTTATGCAAAATCTCTAAGGAAAAAAAATTCTACGGTAAAAACGAAGAGATAGCTTACTGGAAATTAGGGCTTTAGGTCTGGTCTTGAACAAAATTTTTTGCCGAATAATTCCGATAACCTCCAATTCAACCTCGGGTGAAGAACTTCCTTCGCTGATCTGCTTGGTTTTCTTCATCACCAACAATGGCTTCTTTAGGGCAACTCTCGATCCCACCAGTTCATGATACCCCACCGTGAAAGTGTAACTCTCCTGAAACAGCAGTTGATTCTCAATCAGTTTGAAGATATGCAAAATTTCTCTAGACGGGTAAGAATGGGAAAGGGTAATGGCAATACCTGGGAAGAAGGGCGGCAAAGGCGTCCGATTTGGAGGTTCTGGAGGGAACCTTGGAAGGAGGGCTGTACTTCGACCACTCCTTGCAACTCTATAATAGCCCATTCTGGACACTTCTCCGCTCCGCAACTGCACTTCACCTGGATCTGCATCCTTTCTTTCGCCGCCGTCTCCGTCGAAGCAGGATAAGCGATGTTTTTGGGATTTGGCGGCAATCTGATCGGCTGCTTCTTTATGTACGTGGAGTCTAATAAAAACGACGTCGTAGGAGATTTCTCTAGATGTTGGTCTTTTTTTTTGGACAAAAATGTTTTTTTTAACCCTTTATCTTAATAAATTTATAAGTTTTAACCACTTATCTTATATTATGACACTTTAACCTTTTATCTTAATAAATTTGTAAGTTTTAGTTTCACACCTTATATTATAACACTTTTAGTTTCTCACTTATATATGTTGAAGAAAACAATCTTTATTTAAGGTTAGTTTTGTTAATTGACTGTTAGTATCTGTTAACATTCCGTTATAAAAAATATGAAATTTAAATTCAATTTTATTTGTTAATTCTATTAAAGAAATGCTAACGGAACGCTAACAATCGATTAATAAAGTTAATAGTCAACTAACAAAACTAAAAGAATATTATAACCTGACCTTAAGTAAGAATTATTTCTTTTAACTCGTATTGGTGAAAAGTTAAAAGTATCATGATATAAGGTGACAAATTAAAATTTACAGATTTATTAAGGTAAAATATAAAAAGTGTTATAATAAAAGGTAAAAAACTAAAATTTACAAACTTATTAAGATAAATGACTAAACAAAAAAAAAAAGGGGGGGGGGGGGGGGGGGGTAGGGGGGAGGGCGAGGGGGTTGTGATTTTTGGGTTGCTCTTTGCCTGGGAATTGCAAGATTTTATACCTTGGCCATAATCCAAATAACATTTTACATTTTATAATTTAATGAATATTGATTCAACTAAGCTCTTGTAGATTATGTTTGAACATTAATCGAAATCAACATTTTAGATTTTATAATTAATGGGTATGAATTTTAACCCTTAGGGTTTGGATGATTAAATCTTTGATAATTTTCCTATGAATAAAATCATTTGAAAATGAAATAGTTCTAGAATTCATGAAAATCTGCCAATTTGGCTCAATACAAACAGGCAGACCTAGTAAAGACCAACCAGATTTCAATAAGAGAGTAATTAGTAGAAGTACCTGACAGGGAGAAACAACAGTGGTAGTCCCATAGTGATTACAAATGGAAACTGATGGGTTACAACTGCTAAGCTATAGTCCAAGAGTGAATTTAGAGTGCAGAAGCTCATTCTAAAGACTATCATGCACCAAAGTGGGTAGTGCAAATGAGCAGTCAAACAACAAATCACATGGACGAAGATTTAGGGTTAGAACTCTGATGTCAACTTATCAAGAAAAGTTTGCTCTACTATACAACAATGGGTAGGGGGGATGGCCTTGTCTTTGGCATTCATCGCCTCTCTTTACCACGATGCTGAAGAACCGTTCCACCTGAACTTTGTAAACTGGCAGTTCTGGTATAACTAAATACAGGCTCTAGAATAGCTTGTTCTGTGGAGACATGGCCCTCTGTGACATTAAATTGCTGGCTAAGGAAACCGGTTTGGGAAAAGTTACCTGTACTAACATCTGAGAAGGTTAAGTGACTACTGGATTGAGTCTGCAGTGAGCTCGACTGAGGCTGAAAGTAATCCTGGTTATTCTGTTCACACCCAATTGAGATTGCCCCTGTAAGAGTTTTTATAGCAAACTCAATGCATGGGTCGGCAAATATATCTGCACAAGGCATGTCTAGTGGTGATCCCGGCTTCTCATCAGTTTTATTATATCTTTTTTCCGGCTTTCCAGCAAGTTCTCTGGGAATAGCTGGATCTGGCAGAGGCAAAATGTTTCCAGTTTCTTCCCTTCCAGAATGGTCCTCTGAAGTAGCTAAGGACCAACTAGGATATTTGCTACTGTTCGATTCAGATGAGACCTTTGCAGTGTCATCAGATATTCCAGTTAGAGTCTTGATTGCAAATGCTATGCAAGGATCTGCCCATAAATCCGCAAGAGGCAAGTCAAGAGGGGGTCCCGGCATCTGATTAACTTGATCATCACTTTCAACCTTCCCAGAATGCACATCTAGAATAGCTTGATTTTTTTGTAGCAAGACAACTTGACTACTGTCACCCTTGCTCTCTATTTCAACCATTCCTGAATTCTCATCTCGGGTAGCTGAGTTTCTGGAAGAACAGTTGCTTTTATTTGCATCCTGAAACAAGTTTTTAAAATTAGCAGATTTAGGAGAATAGCTTGCTTGTATTGTGGATTCAGATTGATCAGGCTGTGAAGATACCTTATGTGCAATCCCACCAAGAGAACCCTCAGCTACACCACGCACAACCTCAGGTGGTTCTCTAACTGCAGTTCGACTAGCTCGAGTATTTGTTTTCAGCTCTGGAGTTGGATCTAGTGCAATTCCAGCAAGTCGTTTTGAAGCTCGTCGAGGCAAATCAAATGTTTTCTTAACCTTAGACTTGACCCTGCTCAGTTGGGTCTTTTGAGTTTCATTACTTGTCTTCTCATCTTTCTGTGACTGCTTATTTGAGGTATCAACTACAATAGCTGAAGCGGGCACATTATGATCTGAACCCTTAGCTACTGACAAGTTAGAGCTGCTGAATTCATCATCTTTTCCAACTGCAGCATGAAAAAAGAAAAAGAAAAACTGTGTCAAACCCCAATAGATGGACTAAAGGATTGAATATCAATTTAACCCAACAACTAAACTTCCCACATCCATAGTTCTGAACCAAAGATTGAATATCAGATCTTCTATTTTATTCAACATAACATGTCCTATTGTTCTGTGATTAAAACTTGTCTTGTAACAACAGGTAAGAACTACAAGAAAATGAATCAAGTTCAAGTAGAGGTAGTGCCCTGCACCTTTATTCTGAGCAGAAGCATGGTCTGAAAGGGATATTTTTTCTTCTTTATTCATCTGCTGATCCTTTGTTATCCCACTCACATTTGAAACCTGCCCTATAAATTGTCCCTCTGTTCCATGGACCACAACCTTCTGTTTCTTGGCTTCAGTAGGTGACTAAAGAAGAAAAGGAAATATTCTGGTAAAAGTCAAACTCTGAACAACAGATTTTACCCATATAATGACCTAAATTTATAGTAGCAAGGAACAATGAAAAACAATCTCTAGCCAGTGAAAGGAATATGATTGTTGGATAAAGCACTAATATATGAAAATATAGAGCAAGGCATGTTAGTATTTGTATTTTTCTGTTAATGTCACTTTTTGCAAGCTAGACCACAATTTCAAGGAAAATATCAATTAACCAATCAGCTTGGCACACATGATTTCAAGTGGCCAAAGAAAGACAACAAATCCCGTAACAGATTCTTGAGACTAAAATATTGTGAAAAGAATGGGAAAATCGGATTATAAGCAGTCACATAATTAACTAATTATATCAAGAAACTCAGAGAATCCAATCATAAGAGCACATACACAGATCTTATCATCATGCAAGTCTTTATCATTTTTATCATTGTCATTGGGTCTGAAAGCATGCTTTCCAACCACTCCGGTTTCAACAAAGCGATGTGCATCCTTCATGGAACGAAATACATATCCACTCACAGGATCAATGTAAAACTGCAGAATTTAAATATCCATTACAGATAAAGAATGGATAAATTTTACAATCCATAAGCTATGCCACATCCACAAAAAGAAGTCAAGTTTTAGTACCGCATCTCTTCTGACTTTGCCAGACTTCTTAGTTGTTTTGACTTCCTTAATCCATCCTCGAGGTAAACCCTTTGCAGCAACCTTCTCAACTTTAACCTAGATTGCTTGAACAATAAAAAATGTTCAGTTCTAATTCAAATATAATAATTAAAAATGAAATCAAAGGGCAAAGAGCACATTCAGTCAAGCAGAAATCTTTTGCAGATGGACAGTCAGGGCCTTCTGCCTTCTCTTCATATTTAGGATCACTAGGCTTGAGATAATGAGACACCTCTACATTGGAATAAAATTCAAGTAAAGAAAATACCTTATAAACTTCTATTGGAAACCATAAACAGGAAATAGATAGAATTTATTTAAAGATCATTGTAGATGCAATGTAACTGTTAATAAAGAAACCACGTTATAAACTTCTTTTGCTCTCTCAGAACTTAAAGAAAACAAAATAACATCATCCTTTCAGGTTAACACACCCTTAGAAACTGATACTAAGAACCTTGCACCAATAGAGTGCCTTACACAGAATAGAACTAGTTTTCTAGTACAGTTACAGATGGCCTCATATATCTACATTCATCAGGACAGGCCTTTTCTTTCTTAATTTTTTGATAAGGATGCATAGAATATTCTCATTCTACTAAATGCTCTGGGTATTTATAGTTTTGCAGCAATCTAACGACCATTATAAGTCCTATCTGACAAATACTAAAAAGTTAACACACTTTCTTTCCTGATTTGGTTTTCTATTACCACAACGAGACTCTTAACTTCCCAAATTTGAAGAAATTCACTGTTACCTAAAAAAGAAAAAAAAAACAGTACCAGGAAACTGGAGAAGCTACATACAACCCTTTGTTTCCCCAAAAAGCAAAACCACTTATGATCATCTAAACCTTTCATTCTATAACCAATGATTATGAACCATTAAATGGTCCAAATAAATTTTGAAAAAAAAAATCAACCTAAAATGTTAAGATAACTGACTAAACAACTCAAATTGAAAATTTGAAAGGCAAGGGTTAAAGTTTAGCTAAAAGCACAGACTATGGTTAAGGACGCTACTTACTTTTTGCTAAAATTTAATTATATACTTGATTATAGGCTATTAGCTCAAAGACACTCAAACATGAGATGAACCGGTCCACTATAAACCAGGGCCCAAAGAACAGCTTCTTTATATCTCAAACATAAAGCAAATGTCTGTTTTCTAAAATCAGAAAATGAAAAATGGGTTCTTCACCCACTCCACAACATACAACAGTGAAAGCAGAAAAAAAATGAACAATCTAATGAAAGAAACTAAACACACAACATAAAGTGGAAACATCACAACCATAATGACACCAACGAGCTAAAGATCTAACATTTCTCATCTACAACCTCAATATTAAAAGGAGAACCCATGCAAGACCCAGCTGTAAAATTACTCAGAACAAGCCAAAGATCTTTCATTTCCTAAAGCTAGAATCTCTAAATGATACCAAAAAATCCTCAAAACCTAATCTTGAAAAATGGGTTTTGTGAATTACAGAGAAAATCAACTACCTTGTCTTTTTTGCCATCCTTTTTCACTTTCACTTCCACCGTGCACCCTGGCGGAGACCCCTCATCGGATTTCGGCTCCCCCATTAATCTCAGGTTAACCGGAAAAGACGACTAGCAATCGGGAAGGAGGAAGAAGAAGGTCTCTTTCGGACTCCCAACTATTCTGCTTGCTTGAAGAAAGAAGAGTCAAAGGAAAGAGGAGTGGAGAGAAGGAATTGTTTTCAGACAAAAGGGTTTCTTCCCCAGAAACCACGTGTTGCCAAACTTCCGATACGTTAAACGTGTTTCCTCCCACACCTGATTTTAGTTTGCTAGATAGAGTGGGCCTACCTCCCACTTGTCCGACAACCAAGTTTTTCAGTTAATTTTTTAATCCAAAAACCGTCGCGCCCTTCGATTTTGAGTGTGCTTTTGTAATAATTTTTATTTTATAATTTAAATTATAAGAAAAAATGATAAAATATTTTAATATTAAAAATATTTAAATATTTAATTATAATTGTTAAATAAATAAAATATATTGTGAATTATAATTTTATCAAATTTATTATATTATTAAATATTTTGATATTTTTTTAATTATAAAATAATTATTAGTTTTTGTCTAATAATTTTCACTTTATAATTTAAATTACAAAATAATTATTAATTTTTATTAATTTTATTATTTTATATAATCAGGATTGGGCTAATGGTAATTTGGATTGGATGGCCCGCTACTTTTTTCAGCTTTGATGGCCTAGTATTTGAACTACGAGAATTCCGCACCTTCCGGAGCAGAAGAAAGCAGTAGAGTAGACACAATCTTTAGCTAAATTAATCATAGTTTTCATCCGTTTTACTCATTATTTTGTTTTATTAACTTTCTATATCTCTAGGTTTTATTTTATCTTTTTTTATTTTTATTTTCACTCTATCTTATCCTTTTTAAAGGGGATTTTTTTTAAGTTTTTTTTTTTATTTTTCTTAAATTTAAACTTTTATTTTTATTAAATTTTTTTTTTTTCGTTTCAATTAACAAATCATTAGTCTCCCTTTTACTGATGTAGAATAAATGAATCCTGCTTCTTCACCGACTGCTGCTTCTCTACCTTGCCGGTGACCCGAAAATTGAACTACTCCCAGCATAATAAACAACATCAGGAACAAAAGTTGACAGTTTCTGTTTTCTCATTGTAGCAGATTGTCTGAAACAGGATATTGCTACATAACATAAGAAAATGAATTCTTCTTCAAGATGTGGAAGAGGTTATGGTTTTTACTGATATAAACAGTGTATAATTACAAGATTTGAACCTTGAAGAGGAAAATAAAGGCTACAAAATAAATGTAAAAATAGCTGTTGCCCAAAACCATTTTTAATGCAGTGATGGTGTAACCAATGTCAATTAATATTTTAAAAATTAATTGTTAGATTTAAAATTTTATTTATGTAAACTATATATTATATAAATTAATTTTTAAATTAATTTAATATGTTTAATTAACTTATTAATTATGTGAAATTTGACATTGTTAAATACTTTATGTTGTTAGTAAATAAATTTTTTTATTATAAAATTATAAATGTTAAATTAATTTAGAAATTAATATAGTCTTAATTCATGCATTAGTTTTTTAAACATTAATTGTAATGTGAGGTTTTAGTAAAGTTGTTATTATCATTTCGGTTTAGATATTAATTTTGTTATTGAAGCGATACATATTAAATATCGAAATTTTTTATGTATTGTTTCAAATTTATCGTTATAAATTTTTATTTTTATAAAAAAATAGATATTTTATAATAGATGAAATATTAATTAAATTTTAATATATTTAATTTTTATTTAAGATATTTAGATTTATTTATTTATTTTAAAATGTTTTATAATACATTTTTCATACTTTATCTTTATTTTTAAAAAAATTACAAGATATATTAAATAAAAATTTTTATTAAAATAATTATTAATTAAAAATAAGTATTACATCTTATCAATTAATTAATGTACACCTTTCCACACCCAACGCAATCTATTCTAACCAATTAACACCCACCATGTCAACAAAAGTACATAACCCCACCACACCACGTGCCACTGTTAATTGTTTCCCCTTCTCCCCAAGTATAAAACTAAAACCCCCCACTCTAGATACATGCCTTCTACAATACGACAATTCCTCCCTTGAATGATTTTCTTTCTCCCTTTGCATTTAGCCATTTACACAATACAACCCTTCAAGTCAAAAAGCCTATATCTCAGCTCGGTAATGGGTTAGCTTGAATCTTAAAGAAACAGAGTCAAGATCATTGGAGATGGGTGGATAGGGTGATCCAAGCCAGAAGATAAACTATGTCTTCAAGGTTGTGCTGATAGGTGACTCGACCGTGGGGAAATCGCAGATTCTGGCTTGCTTCGCCAGGAACGAGTTCAGTTTGGACTCAAAGGCCATGATTGGAGTCGAGTTCCAGACTCGGACTCTTGTTATTGAGCACAAGAGCATCAAGGCTCAGATTTGGGATACCGCTAGCCAAGAAAAGTACTGGCTACACTTCATCTAGTAACTTTGTCGATGATCTTCTTTGTTGTCGTTGTCAAGCTTTTAATCGGTATATGTGTATGTAAGTGTTTCCTTTTTCTTTTTATTTTTTTTTAGATCTGTGGATTGGTGCTGATTTGCCTTTTCCCTTTTTTTTTTTTTTTTTAACAGCATCAGTTTAGTTCCTGTGAATCGATTGGTACGTGAAATATTATTTGATACCTCAAAATTTGATTGAAATGAATTTAATTCATATAATTTTGATTTAATTAAAAAATCGATATATATTGACCATATCAATTGGTATGGAATGAAATTAACAACTTTGGTCTTTATTCTAGTATTCTAAGAAAAATATTGGTAGCATGGTCTTACGTTACACTAATCGATTTAAGTGGCCTAATAACTATTGAATAAATATTTTTTAGTTCAAACTGAATTTTCTTCAAAAGTGGTCTACATTAGTATTTTGATGCCATTTCTTCATTTTAGATTTATATATACGATACTTTTTCACATTGTATGTTATTTAAAAATGTAAAATTATTATAATTAATTAATTTTAATTAATATTTTATATAATTTTAATTAATAATTAATATATTTTTACAATAACAAAAGGCAAAAATCTACAAAATCGCACCTCATAGCAATCTCCAACAATTTCAAAAGAAACCATAGTCTCTTCAAGTTTTTGTTACCTTCTTTTAACAAAAGGGCTTAATTCTTAAGATACATCCAACATCAAGTTCTTAAATTAGGTAAAAGATAAAAAGAAAAATCCAGTTTTTACTTTAAAATTTTTAACTTTTTTCAACAAGTCCTTAAATTAACTAGAGAAGTAACATACTTTTTTTTTTTTTTTTTGCTTCAAATACTAATTGTTTTTATATTATGTAAGTCCCAAAACTTAGAAGTGACGTGACCCCTTAATCTTAAAATGTAATTTTTTATATTTTTTTTATTTTGACATAAAATGTAGTATTTTTAAATTAAAAATTAGATGTTATTAATTTAGGCTATGTTTGGTACAGTTGGTTGAAAGTCTTTTTGCACTTCAAAAGCTTCAGCTCCACTAAACACTACAATTTGTGAAAAATGTTACACCTTCTTACAAGTTAGTATTTTGTCCATTTCATTACAAATCTCAAAAGCACCGAATTGAATTTTAATAAAATTAACATATTATTCCTATTTTATCTTTATTTTTCTTTCTATTTACAAAAATAACACTTCTACAATAGTTTTTTTTTAATAAAACTTCTATTAAAAATTCCAGCCACATCAAATGAGTACTTAATTTGTTAACAATAAAAATATAATTTTAATTGTTAATTGTATTAATGAAACAATTTATTGTTTTTATCAAACATTTGATTTTAAAAAATCAATCTATTTTTCCCATCTCTTTCCTATTGAGTGATAAAATTCTACATTTAAATATGAGAAGAAACATGTGTAATATACATATTGTTAGCCCACATGTTAGCCCATGTGATAAGACCTAAACATCATATGGGTCTTTATATAAGGTGCATGTTAAACCATGTAACAAAACCTAACATTTATATTATATCTATACATGAGGGTGCATTGAGTGGGAAAATGTTGTTATCCTCATATTTGCCAAGTTTGTATTTGATTTGGAAGTTCATTTGACATGGACATTTTCAACTCTTCATTAATTCAAAAATTAATAAATAGATGGATTAAATGTCAATTTTTATCCCTCAATTTTATGGTTTTACACAATTTTTTACCCTTCAACATTTTTATGCATTTTTTTCGTCTATCAACTTTGAAAAATGCACATTTTTTTGTTCTCCGTCAGTTAGTCTATTAAATCTATTAAAATATACACATTTTTAGTTCCTAGGGATTAAAAATGTGCATATATAAATAAACTTAATAGATTGACTAATGGAAGAATGAAAAAAAGAGTATTTTTTAAAGTTGAGGGATTAAAAAATTACTTAAAATAAATGTAAGATGAAAACTATGTGAAAACCTAAAGTTGAGGAACTAAAATTGGCATTTAACCTAAATAGGTGCTAGAGTATGCTATCGATTTGTGAAATATTTTTTGTTCTTGCGAGTATAATTTATATATAACATATTATTATTTATCAATATTAATTTTTATTCTTTTATATATGTTAAATATTGATGAAATCCTTAAAATAGTTTATCACATCAAGAGGTCATTGTTATTAATGAGAACTATATGATGCAATAGTATTATTTTTAAATTGTACCTTAGTTGTATACAAGTTTGTCAAATTCTAGAGTTTAATTAAATTATTTTGGGTAAATAAATTAGAATTGTAAAATCATAATCGTAAAATTGAATGGGCAAAATCAAGAGTTTACCAAATGAAGCATTTAATTAACAAAATTACATATAAATAGAATTCAATAACTAAAAACTAGATCAAGAATCAAAGTTGATATACAACATAAACATGTAAATGAGAAAAATTAAAAACTGGTAAATTTTTTATTGGCATATTTTTTCTGATATTCATTGAAAATCTAATGCTAATTATTAATTACCTAACATTATAAAATTAGAAATTAGTGGTCATTTGTCTTCTAAAAATTTATTTTGTAACTTAGTCAATAATTCTTTATACAGTTTGTATTTTTTCAAATCAATTGTTGGACTTAATGTTTTTATTCATGCAAATCATATATGTTGAATTTCAAATTAATTGTGTGTGTTTAACTTTTTTATAATTAAACTTAATTTTAGACCATTATATAAATAATAGAAAATACAGTTTCTTCATTCCTATAGTTACAAAAAACATATCATTTTGAAATTTGAAATGCATAGCTACACAAATAAAACATTAAATCCAGCAACTAGCTTGAAAAAAAATACAAATTGTGTAAATAATTATTTCCTAATGTAACCTATGTTTTTAAAACCGAATTAAAGGTCAAATTGTTTTGACCTCTACTTCACAAGTTGGACGGTTAAATTAGTTTGATTGATCAAAATTTTGATCTAATTGAATTCTAAATGTATATAATATAATCTAATATAATACAATGTACTTCTAAAAGTTTGAAGTGACTATAGTAGTCAAAAAGCTTTTATGTATTTTGAAAGAGTTAGGACTCAAACATGCCAAATCTATTCAATTACGTAATTATATTATAATAAATATATTTTAAGACATCAAGTGTCAATAAAGACGTTTCACATTTGGTCGTAGAAGTAATTTTGAGCATAATAATTTGTTAACCTCACATGAGGCTTGGTGTTCGATAATAAGATAATAGGTTATTTGGGTTGATGTATTTCAGAAGGGATGATTCTATTACAGTAAAAAATATGTATATATATACAATAATAGTAATTCAATTTATGACTAACTGTGGAAACCAAATATTACAATTTTTTTTCTACAATTTTACATATATGATATAATAATTAGCTCTTTTTGCTCTACTAAAATCTATGATATTGTATGTAATTACAAATTTATTTAATTTTTTTTACTACCATCTACTCATTTTAATGACATGTTAAAAATTACATATAAAAATTATACAAAAAAATTACCTATATATTGTTACACAATAAAAAAAAGCTATATGTATAATTCCACTTTTCAAGAATTGTCAAATTGTTATTGACCATAAATACAAATAATATAGTACAACGGTTGTATGAAATACTTTCTTCACATTCATAACCCCTAGACATGAAGTTAAGATTTTAATATCATATAAGTTAGATGCTACGTATCTATTTCGTTTGAATTTTCTATACTTTTCAAAAAAAAAGGTAAAAGATAAGAATTGTTACCCATAATACTTATACAAAATTAACTATTCACAAAATAAAACATTAATAAATTTCAACCATTCATAATAGAGAGATGGATGGTCGAGATTTTGTGTGAGTGATATGTGTAAGAGTTATGTACAGGTGGATTCCAACTCAGATTTCTTTAATTTGTATAAATGCTTAGCTTTTCTAACTTTACTAGAATCTATGATATTGTATATATTTAATTTTTTTACCTATTATCTACTTATTTAATGAAACGTCAAAATTACATATAAAAATTATACAATACATGGGCCTTAACTACCATCAACTTGCTTTCTTATGCTTATATTCTCTCTATAGGGAGTTTATTTGGCTTGTTATTTAATTTATTATTATAAAAATAATTATATAATATGAACAAAATTTTTTAAAAAAATTCTCCTACAATAAACGGGCTTTAAAATCAATTTAGTATATAGAGACAACTATTGATCTATTATGTTAAAGAAATTTTGTAGGTACTGACTTAGATGTGTTATTAATTTAAGCTAGCGTTTTTTTTTTAAATTTTTTTAACACTCTTATTAATGGATTATTGAAAAATTGTATCAATATAAATTGTTAAAATTGATAAGATCTATTGAAAATCTGGCAAATTAAACTCTACACTTTTATGAAATGTTGGTTACAAAAAAAAGAAAAGGAAAATAATTGATGGATAATTTTTTATAGAGCATTTTTCTACAATCTTATATGTGATATCTATTTTTGCTCTACTAAAATTTATGATATTATATGCATTTACAATCTTACATGTGATATAATAATTAATTCTTTTTACTCTACTAAAATCTGCAATATTGTATACATTTACAAGTTTATTTAATTTTTTTGGTTATCATTTACTCATTTTAATGACATGTCGAAAATTATATATAAAAATTATACAAAAAATGGTTTGAGTATCTTTACACAATAAAAAAAGGGCTATATGTATAACTCCATTTTTTAGGAATTGTCAAATTGTTATTGGTCATAAATACAAATGATATGGTACAACAGTTGTATGAATATCCTCATCTCATTCATAACCCCTAGACATGAATGTAAGATTTTAATATCATAAAAGTTTGATGTTGCGTATCTATTTTGCTTTAAACTTTCTATACTTTCCAAAGAAAAAATGGTAAGAGATAAGAATTTTTACTCATATTACTTATACAAAATTTCAATCATTTATAAAATAAAACATTAATAAATCTTAACCATTCATAGTGGAGAGATGGATGGTTAAGATTTTGTATAAGTGATGTAAGTAAGAGTTGTATGTACGTAGATTTTAACTCAAGAAATAATAGAAGATTTCCTTAATTTGTGTAAATGTTTAGCTCTTTTAACTTTACTAGAATATCTAATATTGTATTCATTCACATATTTATTTAATTTTTTAACTACTTTTACTTATTTAATAACA